TTACCTACCTACCGTAGATAGATGCGATGATTTATGGCCCTCGAGAATGCTGTCGCTAACCTGTTAGGGGGCCCAGGGAGTACCATGAGTTGATGTGTAGAGATAGGACCGGTCGAGCTATTCTATCCTTCTCGGGGTTAGTTGCGAAGCTAGTTCCCGAGTTCTTATAAATATAAGAAAAGCAGATTAGTGTAGAACTGCCCAATCCATCAGATGTAAGCACCTACCTGTCCTTCTCAGCCCAGAGAACTCACTTATAGAAGAGCTTAGCTACAAATCTGACTTGAATAAGAAGGGCTCCAACTCTTCTAGCATGTCTTTTCTTTCCCGTCCAAGACCATATAAAGAATAATAGAAAAAGGAATGGATCCCCGTTTTTCCTTCCCTGAGGTGAGAGCTTTCTTTACCGAGAACTAGGCTTTTGCTTCATCAGATTCTTTATACATACCCCTTATGTCACTGAATTGGATTCCTTGCCTTGGGGGATACACCTTCTTTACGAAAAAGATTCTTCTTTCTTTTATTTCTTTTTTTTTTAGAGTCTAAGACGGATTTTTTTTAGATGTGTGGTACCAATTGTTCTGATTTAGCACCATCAGCTGTCTCCTCTACAGCACTGGATAAAGGGACATCCGATTTTTCGTCTCAAAAACCAATCCAACGAAAACATCCGACGGGGCGCCTACCGGCGACTCTAGTTTTTCTTTCTTCTAGTTGTAGTGCTAGATTCGTTTCCTATTTACGGATAGAATTCGTATTCCTTTTTATCTTTCTGATAATAACCCCCTATCTATGGGTCTTTTTTGGCTATCCTTTTCTCTCGGCCTCCAGTCTGACTATGATAGATAAGGGGGAATCAAATAATGGAACAGAGGTTGTACCTCTCTTCAACCACTCCTGTCCTGGAGCAAGCTTAGCCAGAGCCATCCCATCCTTGTGGCAGGAGCCCTACAGGTCACTTGAAAGCTGACTACTGGCAGTGTAATTTCATATAACGAAGGCCCATGAAAAAAAAATAACGATTGGGGACTTCTTAAGTGGTACCTTCCCTCTCCGGAACCATTTTTCCCATTTCTTCCTCTCAGACCATGACCGGAGTGCTGATTGCTATTGGCTTCGGCTGGATGTGTTCATCGCCACTGGCATCATGTGGTTTACGTCACTAGATCCTTCTCTTTCTTTGACTTTTTAGTACTTTAACTGGATTTCTTAAAAAGAACGCATAAGATGAGTTGACTAGCCTGAAGCCAAGGAAATGTAAATTGGTTACGAAAGCGTTCCCCGCAAGAAAGAATCGGCTCTTACCCTATCGTCGCAGGAAACTCTCTCTGGTCAATCAAGCTACTCTCGGTTGAGGTTATCGCTCCTTCATCTCGTAAACTCGGTAGCTCGAGAAACAATCATGCTGAAATTTTAGCATTACATGAGGCATGTGACACCCTCTACCCCAACATACATATAGAATAATTATAAAACATATTCTTGGGATAAACAAAATCTTTAAAATTAAAACGATAGTTCCATTAACATAAGAGTAGAGAATTCACAGAGTTCGCTATTTATAGATGTCAGGGGTGGCCAGAACAACCCATTTTGAATCTAGAATGGCCCGTTCTGGATGCTTTAATGTCATCATGTCACCAGTACAAAATACCCTTTTTACGTCGGGTATTTTCATCTTTTTACATCGGAATCGCAGCCAACTTTAATAAGGGAGACGTAAATTTACGTCGCCTATAAATTGACGACGTAAATTTACGTCGGTTCTTAGGCTAGCCCGACGTAAAAAGGGTACTTGCTTTTCTTTCATGTGTAGACATGGTGGTTGTCCCATCCACATAGACCTACAACATGAAGCAAATCCTTCATCTTGTCCAAGTTTCAAGCCACTCATTTCAAGGCTCCAGCAAGTCGATGACAATCTGTCCATTGCACCAAAAAGAGAAACAAGTGTGCAGCTGGACTGTATGACATTCTCATCTGAAGGCACGCATCATCATAATGCCTAGGAAAATCTGATGCCCTGCACATCCCAATTAAAATTTAACAAACTAAAAAATGAAGCAGAACGGCCCGTTCTGCTTGCAGAACGGCCCGTTCTAGATGAAGATGAAACAGAAAATAAACAAAATAATGGGTAGACGAAACTTACCTCAGTGCAGACTCTTACAGGACTTAGACTTAGAGTAATGTGTGCAAACAAGGGGCTTCGAGACTTAGAGTACGTAGAAGAACTTAGAGGCTTTCGTAACTTAGAGTAGAAGGGGCGCGCAAGAGTATGAGCCTTTCACAAAAACCTACGGGTCCTCCCCCCTATCCAGCCTGCCACTTCAGCACCTTGTGATCTTTGAGAAGATCATTACGAGCCCTCTCCTAGAATGTTTTTGTAGATTCCGAAAATTCGAGATCGAAGACGAAGATTTTATGACGCAATGCGGGCACTGGATGGAATAGACAGAGAATAAATATAACAACCTAATAGAGAACTAATTTACGTCGGACAGGTATGGGTCCGACATAAATTAGCAAATCTACGTCGGCTTGCATGTACGTCCGACGTAGAATTGCTAATTTACGTCAAACCCACACCTGTCCGACATAAATTAGCTTTCATAAATTTACCGTTCTGCCACCGCGTTTTTATAACGTCGGCTGTTCCTCTTTTCGACGTAATTTAGGTGACGTAAAAGCATGTTTTTGCACTAGTGTGTGTTAACTTTGCATCTGAAACGGCCCGTTCTTAAACCAAAATGACTCGTTCTGGAGTTGGGTTTTAACACACAAAAACCATATTTGGAACGGTCCGTTCCCAACTTTGGAACGCCCATTCCAAATTAGGGTTATAGGCCATTTTGGTGGTTTGGAACGGCCCGTTCCAGTTTAGGAATAGCCCGGGCTACTAAATCACCCTTATTGAGCTTTGAGCCTTCATATAATCTGTGAAAATCGAGGTGTTACAAGGCAAGTCGTGAATGTGTTTGGCTAAGATATATGATTCAACACATACGAAAAACATGTGGTTTATCTTCTGGAAAAATGACGTCGACAATTATATATGAAGATATTGCTGCATGTATTGCACAATTGAAAGATGGATACATAAAGGGATATAAAACAAAGCATATTCTACTGAAATTCTTTTTTACTCATGATCTTCAAAGGAATGGTGATATAAATGTTCAACAAGTCCGCTCAATTGACAACCTAACAGATCTCTTTACAAAGTCACTTCCAAGAAAAGTTTTTGAACAATTCATACACAAGATTGGACTTCATTGTATGGACGAGGGGGATAAATGAATATTTATGAATGATGTACTTTTTTTCCTTCACTAGGTTTTTATCCCAGAGGATTTTTTCTAGTAAGGTTTTAATGAGACATATTCTAAATATTTGAGATCTAAGGGAGAGTGTTATGAATAATATAATTAATGGCTCAATTAGTGGATGTCAATATATTCATTATCATTCATTACCATTTATATTTCCATTATGTATTATTCTCTTTTTGTATAATTGTTCAATTACCACATGTACTTATAAATAGGGTAATCCTTTCCCAAAGATAATACATCAGTCAGATTCTTTTTTCCATCTCATATTATCTTATTTGTTTTCTCTACTTTTCTTTCTTTTATAACAATATATATCTATATATATATATATATATATATGTTTTTGCTTTCTGTTTCTCAATATATCTACACCATAAAGTTTAGATATATTTTATTGTCGTAAAACCCAAATCTGGTTTTGCTAGAGATATAATTGAAATGAAAAATTATAGGGCGCGTAAAGGTAAAAAATTTTCACCGGTAATGCTAACTTTGAGTGTGTTATTTCTCACGTTTTCTCTGCCATTGTTTGCTGCTTAAACATCAAACTGAAAATGGTAATAAAAATGCAGTTTTATTACATAGCAATACCTATAATTTTTAATTACAAACAATGAGGCTTTGATACTGATTGCAGGACAAAATTGGTGTTTAAAGCACATATTTAGAGGAATGAACAGATCTTTTATATATATATAAAATAAGTATTAATATTTATAAAATAATAAAATATATTTGTTGATAAAGTATAAAAAAAATTTCTTAACAATTTATAGACTCCACATATAAGTATATAATACATTTTAAAAATATTAAAAATAAATATTTATTTTTTATTTAGATAAATTTTTTACGATTATTATAAAAGTTAATTTTTATGTAATTTTATTAATGTGTATGATCTTTTAATAAATAAAGTATAATATTATTAAATTATCATAATAAAAGACTCTTTTTTTTCTTCTGTTTGTGATAATCACTATTATAAAACCAAGTCTATAGTTTTAATCAATTATCAAATTATCTATTTATCAAACAGTAGATATTACTTTATTAATTCTAATATGATTACGTGATATATTGGATGTTGAGTTTACTTAATTTTCTCTAATAATTATATATTAATAGTTTTTTTCTTTAAAGTTTAGATATATTTTCTTGTGGTAAATCCCGGATCTTGTTTAATTTGCTAATGATAAAATTATAACCGGTTGAAAGTGAATATCAAATTCATAATTTAAAAATTGAAATGCAAAACTTTAAGGTGGGGGGAAGGTAGAAAACAAAGGTGGTAATCCTAATAAGTGACTATATCGTCTCAATCTTTGTCCAAATGATGGTTTTCTCTATCTTGATAGAATAAATTATAAACACATCTCCCTATCACCTTTTTTTCATTTCGCGCTTCTCCTTCTAAATTTTCAGATTTTTCACTGCTCTCATTTCGCTTCGGCACAAACCTATATATATTTCTCTCTCGTATTCTTTCTTCCTCGTAATCCAAGGTTTTCTTTTTCTTCTTTTTCTCTTCTCTCTCATCTTTTTTATTCAATTCAATTCTATTCCTTCTTTCCCTGACTTTATCTTCATTCTTGATTTCAGACTATTCTTCACTTTTCACCGCAACATAGCCTCTTGCTAACCAGTTCTTATTTTCAAGTAAAAATGTTTGATGCGTTATGGAAGCCCAAGTTCTATACAAAGTGGTAATAATGCTTTTTCTTTAAGTTGTTTCTTTTTTTTTCTTCTTGTTTTATGAACTTTCTTTTTCTTCTTTTAAAATAATAATGAAATTTAAATTTGCAAACAGCAAATCACGCTTGAAGTTAATAAAGACTAGACTAGAGATGATACGGAAGAAAAGGAATGCAGTGCAGAAATTTCT